AAAAAAAAAAAAAGTAAAGTCTTTTTCAAGTCTAAAGGGAAAGCAAATAGAAAGATATAGATTGAGACCCACCTATTTTAATTACATGAATTAAAATGGTCTAAACAGTTCAATAAGTGGTAGACTGAATAGATGCAACTGTATATATTATCTATATACAATAAAAAGAAATCAACATTAAATATAAAGTAAAAGATAATAAAAAAGTAAAGTATTTTTTATTTTTAGAAAGGATGAAAATCAGGTATTTTTTTACTTTGTAAAAAGTGTCAAAGTATTAAATCAAAGGAAACACAGGCCCAACAGGTAAGAAAACTAAAAAGAAAGTTGAAATAAAGGTAAATAATTGCAAAAGAAGTCAATTTGATTTATCTAATGTATACCAGACTTACAGCAGCTGATCACATTCAATTGTGAAAGAACGAAATGAACTGCTGGAACCATATATCAAGACAGGAGCATTTAACAGAATCTTTTACAAGTTATTAAATACATGTCAGCAATAATAATATAACGATGTATAAAAAATGAGTTTCCCCTCTCCTGCACTGCTGGTAGGAATGCAAACTAGTACAACCACTATGGAAAACTGGAGGTTTCTCAAACTGCTAAAAATGGAGCTTCCCTACGACCCAGCAATCCCACTTCTAGGTATCTACCCAAAAGACACAAAAACACTGATTGAAAAAGATACCTGCACCCCATGTTTATTGCTGCTTTATTTACAATAGGAAAGACATGGAATCAACCCAAATGCCTAAAAGTAGATGACTGGATTAAAAAGATGTGGTACAGGGGGCCCTCCTGGTGGCGCAATGGGTTGGAGTGCTGCACTGGGAAGCTAAGTCAAGCCATGGCCACTTCAGTGCGAGTTCGATTCGATCCCAGTCCCAGAGGTGACCCACATGGCACGGCAGACCTCTCCTGTCTTGGCTGCTTCGCCCCTCAGCAATGTACTTTGTTGAGATGCCTGTTCTGCTCTATCCCTGGTGAATCCTCTCACCATCCCTGCACCTCTGGCCTGTACTCCAGTTCTGTATGCATAAATAAAAAAGATCTTCAAAAAAAAAAAAAGATGTGGAACACATACACAATGGGATATTACTCAGCCATCAAAAAAGATAAACTCATGCCTTTTGCAGCAACGTGGATGGAGCTGGAAGGGATTATGTTTAGTGAACTAAGCCAGAAAGAAAAAGAAAAAATACCATCCAGTTATTTTGGGGGGAAGTTGGGGGTGGGTGGGGGAGGGAATAATATTTCAATATAATAACTATTATTATAATGCAAGTTTACCAAAAGGAAAAGGCAAAGAATATGAATAAACAAGTCCATCAATTGTGAAATAGAATCTGTATTAAATCATCTGTATTTAAACTGGATGAACTATACTGATTCTGTTAGAGATTTTCATTTTTGCTACTAAGTGGGAGAAAAAGCAAGACACAAAGTATATATACCCCATAGTCTCAATTCTTGTGATTGTGTGTATTAACACATAGGTACAGACATGGAGGAAAATATGGAAGGACACAGGCAGATTTATCAACAAAGATGAAGGCGGCAAAGGGAAAAAACACTATGTAAAAACAAGCACTTTAGTACATGAACGCACTTAAAAAAAAATCACAGTATCTATTATGTAATGTATAGGAATAGCATCTTAGGTGCTAAGCAAAGAAAGCAAGTTGCAAATGTTTGTTAAAAAGTTTCATTTTTGGTAAAACAAAGCCCATAACAAATTTGCTTAAATGTTTATATTCACAAGAAAAAAGTATAAAAGGATAAATTCTAGACAGTTACTATTTGCATAGGGGAGAAAGATAATTGTTCCAAATATATGTTTGTATTGTTTCCACTGTTATGATAATGTACTACTTTACTAATTTGAAAAGAGTGAAATTAAAGCATCTCAGTCTTCCAGACTTACTCTCACACTTACTCTCCATTTCTTTGAAATGCTCAAACCTATAGTAATAGGCACTACTTACTGAATGTTTATGTATCAGAATGTCTAACCCTCTGAATTCACTAGTATTACTATACTACATTTCACAAATCAAGAAAGTCAGGCTTAAAGGTTAAGTCACTTCCAAGTTCACACAGTGAAAGTCTGGCATCAGTGGACCCAGAGCCAGAAACCACAATCTTAATTATTAATGATATTAAAGAGCTCCAGAACCTAGCCTTGACCTCAAGGTCACCAGCATAACACACCTGCCTGTAACTGGAAACAAAAATCTGCTCATCTCCTTTCTATCAGTTTGTCTGCTTTTGTCTCCCCGAATTTCAAAGATCACCAACAGTTTCTTTACTTGAAAGAACCTTCAGGGCTAATGTTAATTCGACCAAGAGAAGCAAGCTACTGATCTTCCCCAAATCTCTACCTTAAGGGCTTCACTTTATTTGTTCCCCAAAATGATCCTTTTTCTCCTGGAGAAAGCAAAGAAAACAAAACGTTAAGCATTCCACCTTCCCTTAGCCTAGAAAGCCTGTAGCAGTTACACAAAAGATGTTAAATGTTGAGTGAGTAATTCTGGTACTACACACTCCAGCCCAAACAGGAAGCTTCCTACAGCTTCATAATCCACAGGACAAATGCACCTCAATTTCTGCAAGCCTGGCATTCAACCACCTGACACCTAACCTAACCTAACCGGGCCCGCTCTTATGTTCACCTGGAGCTGAGTGTTCTTAGTCCATGCCTTTTTGGAAACTGAGTGTGGAAACTTCCCACACAGGGCAATCATTCTTGTTCTTTCCAGACCTCCTTTTCTCTTATTAGGATCCTTTCTCCAAACTGCCTTTCAGTTTCCAGCCTTCCTCCCAATCTCACACCAGAGAACAACAACTGTTCGCTGAATAGTTTAACATGCACATCTTTAAAGACCTGGTTATTGTGACTTTTAAAATTTCATGGACCTTTTCTCTAAATGGTGCCATTATTTCTACTTGTCAAACAATTCTCTCTGAACCGTTAGGTCCAGAGTGGCGGTTTCCAGTCTGCTGCTTTAAACAGGTGGTAATAGTCGACAGCATTTCTTGCAGAGAAACAGATCATGCCACTGTTTAGATAAGTGACCCACCCAAATGGATGCCATTCCTCCTACAGTCACTACTTCACTTTGGATCCATCTTGCTTCCCTCTATTACTCCTTTACAAAACTGCCATGGCTACCTTTTTGTAAAATTTATTTATGCATACAGAACTGGAGTACAGGCCAGAGGTGCAGGGGCGGTGAGAGGATTCACCAGAGACAGAGTGGGGTGCAGAACCGGCAGACTGAGGAAGTAAACTGCTGCGGGGAGCAGTGAGCAGGTCAGGAGAGGTCTGCAGCACCATGTGGTCACCTCCAGGGCGGGGATCAAACTCATGCTGAAGTGGCTTTAGCTTCTTAGTGCTGTGCTTTAACCCACTGCGCCACACCGGGGAGGGCCCTATCATGCATCTATTTTAGTCCTCCAAACTTGTTTCAAGAGCCAACTACATACTGTTGTCCAATTGTTACTACGATAGAATTACCTAGCAGGTCAAAACCCTGCAATGGGGCCTCCCTGGTGGTGCAAGGGGTTAAAGTCAGCAATAGGACATTACCCACAGCCACTGCCGCACCAGTTTGATCCCAGGACAGAAAGCTGACCCACAGGGTGCAGCAGACCTCTTCTTTCTCACCTGCTGCTCCCCTCAGCAGTGTGTTTCAGTCATTGTGTCTGTTCTGTTCCTCACCCAGAATGAGTGGCTCTGGTGAATCCTCTCATTTCCCCTCTCCTTGCACCTCTGTCCTACACCTGAGCTCTTGTATGCATAAATAAATAAATTTTTTTGAAAGCTTCCTTAAAAAAACACAAACTTTTCAGCTGGGTGTTCAAGAGCCTCCACAAAACAGATGCTTTCCTTGGGCACTTCAAGTAGGCTGTCCACATATATGCCTAACAAAAGGAAGATTAAACTCGCCCTGAATCATCTGATTATGTGATTGTTTAAGGGATAAAAATAAAACACTATAGTCACAAAGCCCATCTTTTGGCCTTGTCTTATTCACCGTACCACAACCTGGCCAGGCAGGAAAACTTTTTAAGTCTTCTCTGACTTAGTTCAAACATATTCATAGTAAGACTAATATGATATCTGCATATTTTGTTCTGTCAATATCTTACCAAACTTAAATATCCACTCAAAACTCCTTTCCAGAGGTGTTTGTTTACTGATTACTTTCTTTTTCTATCCCAAAGACACTCACTCCCTCTTCTAAATGTCCTTAATGACTTTTAAAGACCTAAGTTCTCCAGTAAGTTATGGCTATTTATACAATAACCTTAAACTCCCTGCTTACTAAAAGCATCTTAAAGGTAAAGACCATTTATAAAATACTTTTGTAGTCCTTAGGACAAACAATACATTTTTTTTTTTAAGAGAATAGTAACCACTGAAGATAGCATGTTACTTAGGGATTTTTGAAAATCTTGAGTGTGACAAACGGCAAATGCCTCTATAGCACACACTTCAGTGTATTACACACCATTCCTGGTAGTCAAGAAACTTAAAGAAGACAGCCAGATAACTGGATTCCAGTACCAGCTATTCCATTTACTTGCTAAGTGCCTACAAGTTACTACCTGCTAAGCTTTTTTTCATCTGCTCAATGAGGGACTTGTACAAAATCTCCAAGTTCCCCCTCCTTTGGCATTCCAGGTTTCTACAGAAAGACTTAATCTGTCCAGGCACCCAGCCCCTTGACGCGACTTTAAAATTTAACCTCTAATCTCGGATTCTCCGATTACTCTGGTCCTGCCTGTCCTCAGCTACTTCAACACCTATCATCCTTGTAACCAAAGCCAAGTTCACAAACTGTCTTTCCCTACCGCTTCGCAGCTGATCTGAAAGTGGCCTCGGGAAAGGCAAGCGCGCAGAAGCTGGACTTGCTTGTAGAGCAGTCCTGCGGCTGCTCTCTATGTGGAGCGCCCAAAGATCCACAGCAGAACTAATTCCCTAACACTGCAGCCTGGGTCCCCTCCCGCACGGGTTCCCTCCTTTTCAGGACCAAAGGGTTCTCTAAAACGGCAGCCATAGTCTTCCTCACCCAGCAACTCGAGGTTCATCCCTGAGGAATCTGGTCGCCTGGTCTCAGCTCCAGCAACGACGCCTTCTCCCCAGCCCGCTTCTAAGAGCTGCGTGTAAGTCAGGGAAAGCGGTACGCCGCAGATAGCCTGGCGAAAGCTCCGGAGATTTTCTGATTTAGAAGACCCCGGGGCCTCCGCTTTCTTCCCCCGCCTTCCTTGTTCGTTTCAAGTAGGCTGTCCACAGATACGCCTAACTAAAAAGAAGAACAAGCTCTCGCTAGATCGTTTCATTGTTACCTCACTTAAGGAACAAAAATAGTACAGTTGCTTATTTCTTTAAGAAGTGCAAAAAAATTAGGATGTGTCCTCCCGGGCTATGCAAATGAGCTAAAGGTTTCAGGCACATCATTAGACGACTACACCTTGCTGTGTTGTGTGTTCGGCGGTGTTTTCCCGGCGGGCTGCTCCAGAGCTCGCAGTAAAGGTTCCGGGCAAGTCCCACAGACGTAAGAAAGCGGGAAAGGTTGGCCCCCAGGGGTCAGGTGTGGAGCCCAGTCGCTGTGATCGAGGCGGTACTCACCTAGTATGTAGACCCGTGTCCGGGTGTTTCCGTCTCCTGAAATTTATTTCACATTTGTAAAGATAGGCCTCTGATCCCACAGAAATGTACAGTGGCATTTGGTAGGTCTTTAAGACTGTACCGGGCAGCTGGTATTGAAAATAAACTGGAGTGGGAGGCGGCGTTCCCTAGAGCTCAATCCGAAGGAGAGGGGCGAGAAGCTCAGAGTAATTAGAGAGAAGGCTGGTTCTGGTAGCGAGCGAGAGAGCAAACGCTATACAAACAGGTTTTGAGGGGGGATGCTATGGACTATCACGAAAAGACGTAGGCTCCGTGCAGAAAAATAGGGCTCAAACTAGGGTGCTTGTGTAGATTTAATGCCAGTCGCTGCAGTCCCCCCTTCTTACTAAGTCCATTCCTTGGGTAATATTTTTTTTCTTTCTACCTCGGTTTTCTTATATGTAAAATGGGGGTGATAATAGTAGTTACAAGATTGTTGTGAAGACTAGAGTACTTCGAATAGCAGCAGGCTATTCAAACCACCTTCCCTTAAATTATCTCACTTCTTTGAAGCCAATAGGGTAACTATATGGAATATAGTCATTGAGACTCAAAGATACTGGGCAGTTTTCCTTCCTCTGCGTATCTGAAACATTGCCAAAATGTCACCGGAAATTCTATCGGTAGCATAGAGGAATATTTCTGCATCTTGTTATCAGTTCTGACAGCTATGCCAATTGCATAGATGAAAAACCATCTTTACATTTACTTGGATGAACAACTTTTCACATGTATAAATAAATATTTTTCTTGTCTGTGAAGTGGCCTGTTTGTGCTCCTTTTTTGGATGGAGTAATTCTCTTGTAGGACCAGAAGAATGTCTACCATAATTATTTAGCAGTGATTTTTTTTTTCTTTCTTAGTGAAAAGGATAAGATAACTTATAAAAATTGCACTACTGTTGATTTGATAAAAAAAAAAAACAATATAGTTAGTAGACTTTTAAAATGTTAGTTGGAGCTTATTAACACTTCCAGCTATAAAGGAAGATATCCAGATTTGTGTGTTGCATGTGGGAAAGGTTAATTGAATAATCTTCCCTTTTTGCCTGAAGCAACTAGTATCTGTCCTTCTGACTCCATATGAGAAAGAAAAACCTGTATCTCAGCTAGACTGCATGATTACCTCACGAAGTGCTTAAGTGGAGCACCTCTGTCAGCCAGAATCTACCTGGCTCAAATCACAGGGAATGTACTAAGGAGATTCCCATTTCAAGAATTTCAAGTTCTCAACCTTAGCTGCATGTTGAAATTTCTGGGCCACTTCAAAATAATACAGATGCCTCAGTCCCACACCTGGAATGAATGCAGAATCTCCTTAGAACATTGGTATATGTGACAGCTCCTAGATGATTTTAATATTTGAAAGGCTTGAGAACCACTTCTGTAGTGGCTGGGATGGGGGTTACCTGTATTATTGGCTGAGGAAATGGGTAAGAAAATAGAAAATTGCCTGTTACTATCTTCAGGGGATTCACTTCAGGACGCCTCCCCCCCCCCCCGCCCCCCAAGGATAGCACAGTCTGTGGTTGCTCAAGTCCCTTACACGAAAGAGCAGAGTGCGACCTCCCTGGTGGCCTAGGGGTTAGGTCTCTGCACTACCATATCATAATGGACCACCACCACCATATGGGATGGCCTACGTTTGATCCCTGGCCAGGGAGCTGACCCACATGGTGCGGCAGACCTCTCCTGTCTCACCCTCAGCAATGTATTTCAGTCCATCTGCCAATTCTGCTCTCCACTATGTCTATAGTGAATCCTCTCAAACCCCTGCACCTCTGGCCTGTACCCCAGTTCTTGTATGCATAAATAAATCTTTTTAAAAAAGAAAACTGTGCTGCCCATCTATGAAAAATAAGTACAGGAAGGATATTTAGGAAAGCAAGGAGATTGGGTATTTCCAGGGCTAGGTGGGAAAGTGTGGGAAAAGAGGATGCTTGGAAATAAGGTAGCCGGGTGAGGAGGCAACGGTACTCGGTGTATTTTTGTATAGCTCTGACTCCTGGGGCCTTGGTAGTGTTTCACATACCTGGAAAAGAACTAAAACCAACTGGGATGTAGAGAAAGCAATAAAAAAATACTACTAAATGAACCTGTAATAAAGCCGTAACTATGACACTAGAAAGGAAGAAAATCCTCACACAGGAACCCTGGGAAACATCATCTTGACGGGGTAGCATAAACCTGAAGAAAAGGGCTGGAGAAAACACCAGATATAAACACTCACCATCGTTACAGACGCATTTCATTGATGAGTGCTAAAATGAGTGGGCAGGCAGTTGAGGGAAAACAGAATTTGCAGTGTCAACAGACCTCCCACAGGCTATTTAATAACTATAAAGAGAAACAGGAATTTTATAGTGGAAAATCCAGCAGAAGGGCCTTCGTCAAGTGGCAGAGTTCACCATTGCCAGTAGTAGTAAGACCCAGTTACAGTATGAACATGTGACGCAGTTCACTGGCAGTGCCTCAGGTAACATCCTCCCTGTGACAGTCTAATCATGAGGAACCATCAGAACACTCAAACTGAGTGACATTTGACAAAATAACGGACCAGTCATCCTCAGGGAAGACTACAAATTGCATGAAACTAAGGAGTAATAACTAAATGTCAAATGGGATTCTGGGCAGACTCCTAGCATAAGAAAAAGACATTAATGGAGAAACTGGTGAAATTCACAAAAGGTTTTTTGTTAACAGTATTGCAGCAGTGGAGATTTTTTGGTTCTGATCATTGTATTATAATTACATAAGAAGATAACATGAGGGAAGATGGAGAGGAATAGATGGGAATGCTTAGGAGTCTTTCTGCAGTTTCTCTGTACATCTCAAATTAGTTCAAGGTAAAAGTTTTTAAAAGGGTATCAACTCCTCCGTCAATTCTTCCTGTGGCGATGACTCACCCAAATCAAATGCACAACCTGCCAGAAGATCATTGCCTAATAATAGAAATGAAGAGACAAAAGACCTTCAAAGCCCACTGATTCACACTCAAACAATTCCACATAAAGTTACTGGCTCTGAAGAGGGGTTAAGAAGTGGAAAATGTACCACCAGAATTCCTGAGTTCCAAAAACAAGAGTCTCTGGTTCCAGTTTTGACTCCTTCCAGTCTCCTTCTGGAGACTCCTTCTCCAGGCCCAGAGTGTGGAGCAGTTTCATGGTGAGAGAACTGTGTGGCCAGGGCCCCACATGTGGGTTATTTCTTCTGCCACTGCCAACAAGGTGGTCCTGTTTTTTGTGTTTTGTAAATATTTATTTTATTTATTTTTAAGTATCCAAGAACTGGAGTGCAGGCCAGAGGTACTGAGGGGGTGAGAGGATTCACCAGAGCCAGAGTGAGGAGCAGAACAGGCAGATCTACTGAAATACACTGCTGAGGGGAGCAGCTGGTGAGACAGGCGAGGTCTGCTGTGCCATGTGGCTCACATAGGGATAGAACTAGAGCTGCAGTGGCTGCTGTTAGCTTATAGTGCTGAAACTTCACCCCTTGTGCCACCAGGGATTACTCCCAAAGGGCTTTCAGGTTTTTTATGTTTGTTTGTTTTTTTAAAGATTTATTTATTTATGCATACAGAACTGGGGTACAGGCCAGAGGTTTAGGGGTGGTGAGAGGCTTCACCAGAGAGAGGGGGGGCACAGAACAGGCAGATCGACAAAGTACACTACTGAGGGGAGCAGTGGGCGGGAGAGGTCTGCCACGCCATGTGGTCACCTCGGGGCTGGCTGGGATCGAACTCATGCAGAAGTGGCTTTAGCTTCTTAGTGCTGTGCTTTAACCTGCTGTGCCACCAGGGAGGGCTGGGTTTCAGTTTTTATGGTAAAGCTATTGCCAACCACGGGATGACTCGGGCTCGTTTGGCTATGCACCCATTTTTCTTAGAGCCATTTCCGTCTCCACACCTGGTTCATTCAAGTATCCACTGAAGCCGCTGCTGCTGGTCAGGCGCCAGCTTCCTCCCAGCCTTGGAGTCTGGAGTCTGGAGTCCAAGTCTGGGGTGAGGGTGAGGGCGGGGGTGGAAACCACTTGGGGAGGTAGGGCTGGTGCAGGAGGCAGGAGCAGGGTAGAATCCCTCTGGTATAAAACAGCTTCAGAAATAAGTCAAAGGTAATACTTTCTGCATCCATTTTCTCCCATTGCACACACTGCATCAATGTTGCTGTTAAATATCATTGGACTTGTACAAATGATGACCCTTTGCTTGCGCGCCCCCCATTTTTGTTGATTGCAAGAGTCCTAATTAATTCCATTCCCCAACAATGCTCAAATTCCACCAGTCTAGAAGGGAGCATCATTACAAACTGAAAAGACTTTACCAAAACCATTTCTAAAACCAACCCAGCCATTCAAAATCACTTTAAGGAAAACTTAACAGCGGGGGGGGGGGGGTAATCACTGTCCTCCTCTTCATTGGACTGGATGTTAATAAACGAGATGAAATTCAAATTAAAGCCCTTTAAAAACTGCTGTCAGAAACATTTTATGGGGGTGGAGTGGGGAATGGGATAAAAAATGAAAAAACGGGGCGTAGGGAGG